CGTGACGTAGCCGCACCAAAAACGAAAAAACCATCGAATACCCGTTGCGAATTTTAAATTTATGCCTCCGAAAATATTCCTCGTTAAAATTTCTCGGTCCTCCGAATATACCGTTTAAGGTACGAGTAGCCAGGGCCTTTGAGCAAGAAATGTTGGTTTTATCTTTTGTGCCAAGCGACAAAACACATTATTAGCGATCGGGGCAGGTAAAAATTTTCGAAGGATTTTTAACAAGCTCCAAGCTGAGATTACTGAGTTTCGCATTTCGGAGCTATTTTAACCCCGGCCTGACAACTACGCGCCATCGGTTTTAGCAAAATCGGCATATATGAATTACCGATTATTTTTATAGTGATGACATCTTGTAATGGGACGAGACTTGATTTAAACCACTAAAGCACTTCACTAATTTTATTGTTAACTTGTAAAATTCAAGTGAGGTACTTCTTTAGAAAGCAGTAGCATGTAATGCAAGCATTTAATTAGCATTGAGCAACACGGTTTTGTTTCAAATAAGTCATGCTCAAGCAATCTGGCAACTTCGTCTCAATATTTATGCTAACCAATTGATGATTTAGGTCAGACGGATGTAATATATATGTTGGTACATCATTGTCGTTACAAAACTTGCTGATATCCTACCTATTAGATTGTAGACATTTTGTTCAATACGAGGGGTTTAGCTCCCTGGTGTTTCATCCCAGGTCGGGGATACCACAAGGATCAAATTTAGGTCCCTTCTTTTTGTCATCTTTATTAATGATGTTATTGGTAAGTTAAATTGTAATAAATCGCACGAAGATTGCTTATTACTTTCGCAAAATCGATGAAATCGAAGTGTCTATGCTCGTATAAAAATTTTGTATCTCGGTAACGGTAGGTCCTATGGGATCGCCGTTGGTACAGAAATGATCACCATCGAAAAAAAAATTTTTTTGTCTGTCCGTTCTCCGTTCTCGTCTTTTAGTTTTTCTTGAATAACCTTCGAACCGTTGGATCTACAAAACTAAAATTTGCCTCCTTTTTAACCTTCCAGGAGGCACATAAGCTTATAAGAAATGGCCCTGATCCGACGCCGGTATCCATCTTTTTTTCGCGATTTTCATATTTCATATGTGGCACATATATGCAGTTTTGCCCCGTGACGGAACCTGTTGAAAAAAGGGGGGCTGGGGGTCTCGAAGTATTTAAAAAAAAAATAAAAATCGCTTGTGCAAGGTTCTACAAAAAAGACCATTTCTCAAAAACCGTTTACAACGCCGAAAAAATTCTTAAACCAGGAGACGCAGAGAATACGGCTCCATAAACTTTTATTCTTGACAATTTTTCAAAAATATACAGGGTGCGCTATAAACTCAAAAAAACTGAAAAGTGGGTCCCCCTATTATTGAAAATTGGCAATAATTTAAAATCTGTGTTTTAGATGTCAGTTTTTTTTACATGACGATATAGCCTACAGCTAAAACTTCTGTATTTAAGGTTTTTAAGTATTGTACAGGGTGTTCGCGATATTCTGTGCAATATTAAAAAACGTAATAAGTGTCCCAAATTTGCAGCTACCGACTTCAGACTTGGAACAGAAGTAGAAGTCCGGACCCGCATTTAGACTTTTTAAATTGGGAGCAATAAAATAACACGAACATTTTTTTTTTAATTTTTGTTTTTTTTTTTAGTTATTTTGGCTTCCAGAAAAATATCTTTTCCTCCAAAACCATTCATCCGATCGGAAAAATTTTGCAACCGTAATACGTGGGAGATCCGCCGCTATAACTTTTGTTTCAAGCATTTTTTCGATTATACACAAGGTGTTTTAGTTATGGACAAAAATCTAAAAGACCCTTGTTCTTTTAGGGAGTAAATTATTAACCGTAAATCAAAATTCATACAAAAAAATAGCTAATCCATTCAAACAGTGTTATGGCCCGTATCAAGGACTACAATTTTTGTATTTACGATTTTCGTCTGTCACGTACGCTGCTCGAGATATTTGAAAAAATAAATTTTAAAATTGCAATATCTCGCACTCATTCTAGGCGAAAACTATTTATCCTATCAAAAAAATTCATATACCGGGAAACGTGGGAGATCTAGGGCTATAACTTTTACTTGCGACATTTTTTGGATTATGTACAGGGTGTGTCGATTATTTGTAAAAAAACAAAGAGATCCTGGAAATTGCCATCTTCGTGGGTAAGTAATTAGCCGTAAATGAAAAACTATAAAACATGGGATAATTTGGTTTATACAGTTTCGCGAGAGTTTCAAGTTTCGTCTATCACACAGGGTGCGGCAATTATTTGAAAAAATATCATTGGGAATCGCTATTATTTGTAAAAAAATTTGAATTTACCGAAGTTTGCCTTGCCGTAACTTTGAAGTTCGCCGAGATGTGAAAGACACTTCATCCAGGGTGCATGCGCAATAAAATTACATCGATTTTGCGAAAGTTCCATAGTGGTCCGCAGGAGCACGACAAAAAACAATGCGTCCCACTAGCACAAGAAACCGCAAAGCGCCTTCTTTTTAAAATAAAAAGCTGGTTCGCGCTACACGCTACGAACTTGCCCCGCCCAGCGACGATTTTTCGAAAGCAATCTTGTTTCTTCAGGATAACATTATTGTTATATCAGAATGGTGTCCGGTTAATCGATTAAGTTTACATGTCTCTAAGTGTAGAAAGCTGAACATAAATATATTTAATTACGTAAGAAATGGAACTGTATTGAATTAATTAAGTGAGGCTAAAGACTTGGTGCTTGTCGTCGATTCCAGACTTACCTTTATACCTCATATTGAGCAATTAATATTTTTGGCGTAATAAGAAGTTGCCGACACTTCAACCATACCTCAACTATAAGAACCCTGTGTTATTCTCTCGTCAGATCTAAATTAGAATATGGGTCATTGGTGTGGCGTCAAATATATCAATGTCATATTGATAGCTTGGAGTTGATTCAGTGATGGTTCCTTAAGAACTCAGTTTTTAGGAGGGTTATATATATCCTCACACAAGTTCATCTGCCCAGACCTAGGATAAATATTTTATATTAGTCGTCACTTTTGTTTTTGTGTGGTAACTTCAATATTGTTTCAGACTTATCGTCTTTATACAAGGGAAAGTGGCCAAGTCCAAATTTTCTAGAATTTAATTTGTAGCAGTAAAATATTCAAAACGTAATATATTTTTACAGAAAGAATTGATCAATTGATGACTTCCATAAGTTGATATTTTGCAATTGTTCCATATGTAGAACAAAATTGCAAGAAAAAATGACCAAGTTCTCCTAATATAATTGCTCCGAAACTCCAAATTTTGGATAGTGCAATAAAACTAGCCAAAATGTGTATCCCTGTATTTGCTTAAATGACTGGAAAACAATTATGACAGTAGCACGATTCAAGAGAGGAAAAAATAAAATTTCAAGTGCTTATAATGTTCACCAGCTGACGTACAATGATTTTATCAATCTTAAAGAACTCAGCAAATAGCAGAATGGCTGAAGATCAAACAATTCCGATGTGGAAAAGGAACAAAAAAGAAGAATGAAGAATACAATGTTCTAAATGTAAGAAGAAAAGTAAATGGTAGATCCAGTAGTACGCCGAAAGAACCATTGCCAATATCCAAAAGCAAAAATGATGACTTGGTTAACCTTTGCTGAACTGGAGTTATTCCCATTGAGTATCATGGCTGGTACATGAACATACCAAGTAATAATTCCATAAAAGAAAAATGTCCCGAACCTGCACAAGACGAAAGCAGTGATGATAAAGTATAATGTTAGGATTATTAGGAAATTTTTCTTATTAGTAAATATTGCTGTCCAATAATTAGTTATAATCGTGAATTTGTTATTTAAATTGTTAATAAATGTTAGGTGACCAAATTGACCTTAATTTCCTTCATATTATGACTACTAAAACAATACTTGATTTTTTGATTATGTAGTAGATTAACAAAAACAAACTTTCAAAATGTATTTTCACTAAAATAAACTTAAAATAATTGATTTTATATTCATGAGAAAGTGACCGAGTCCAAATTTTCTACGAATAGAAAAACAATAATATGTATATAACTCTAATAAAACAATACTTAAGTATTTTGACTATTGCAGTGGATTAACCAAAACCTATTCAATATGTATTTCCACTAAAATAAACTTGCAAGAGATAATTGTGAATTTTATATTTGTTCATAAATCTTCAAATATTAATTAACAGCTTAAAACTGGACTGGGTCACTTTCTCTTGTATACCAACGTATATCTTCACACAAGTTAGGAGGGATATTAATTCTTTAAAATTTCTGTATGGGCGTTTGCATGGTACGGTGTGGCTTTTATGCAAAGTAAAGTTTTACGTCCCCAGAATCGAATCCCGATTTAGGCCTGCATTTCATCTCCCTAGACCTAGGACAAATCTTTTATATCAGTCGCCAATTTTGTTTATCATCCAGTCAAAACAGACAAAAATAAGTTAAAACTTAGGCACACTTCGCATAGAGCTGAAAATTAGCAGAGGTGTTAAATCCATCATTATACATGAAATGTGAAAATTTCCCTTCGATTTGACTTGTGCAAAAAATTTTATTCAAAGTCAAATGTATAAAATTGAGGTTTTTTCTATTTTTGTCAACAACGGAAAGTTTTATTTTGAAAATATCGAAAAAATCTCTACAAAAATTGTTCAAGCGCTTTTTTTATCACGACTCACCATTCGTGTGATATCGCGGTTTCCACTATTAGAAAATTCATATTTTACATAATATGCACACATTTCCTCACCACCTATGAGGTAATGTACTTGACGCATTTTTTTAACGTGATTTCTTCAGTGTGCATATTGCACGATCTATTGTAATGAAGAACATTTAATCAGATCGTATCCTATTGATTGAAAGTATGATAATATTGTAAATTTTCAAAGTGGATTGTTATTAGAATAGACAATTGTCTACTTCTACATCAACAATCTTCATTTTTTTCTTCTTGCAGAATCTCTGTTCGCTGTTCTAGTATGTACAACATTGCCAAAAAACATTTTATTGGTCGTACACTAACGGAAATTTCGAGAAAATTGACATTATCTCCGGCGACTGCGACCTCTACGTCGACGGCTGCGCCCTCTGCGTCCCCTGCCCTTTTTTTTCCTCGCGCTACACGCTTCCCTGTAAAACTTGTGGCGCTGTTGCTTGTTCATTTGGCACCACGTTTTCGCGCCCTCTATAGCGATTTTGATCTGAGGCCATCCGCAGTGTCGCCTCCTGAAAACCCGCAGGAAATTTAGAAACGGGTTGGTCGTCTTCGGCCCTGGTCTCGCGCATCTCCTCCTAGATCTACCGCGACGTCTACGAGACCTACGCGATCTACGTCTCGATCTGCCTCTTCTACTTCGTCTGATGCGTCTGCTCGTGCGCAACCTACGTCAAGCGGAAAGTTAGGCCGGACGCGGCTAAACGGTTATAATTTTATACCGACCGTCTGCTTCTGCGACGTCTGGACCTGGAACGTCGAGCGGATCGAGCCTTACAATAAACGCTCGGGGAAACGGGGACACATCCCGACTTGGATCGCGATTTGGATCTTGTTCGCGCCATTAGCCTTCCATTCGAACGAAAATTTTTAAATTCGGAAACAAAAATCAACTCCGAAAATCTCACATTTAAAATTTAGGCGTGACAGGATTTGTAATTTTGACCGCTAAACAAATCGTTTCGTGGAAACCGCTTTTTGTTTCGTCGCGGTTGTCCACGATGGTTTTTGGCAAGACGTCGGCCTGTCCTTCAAATATGACGTGACGGTGACGGCACTATAACAACGATCGACTAGACATAAAATAAAAAGAAAAAAATTCTTACAAACGTAGATCCGGAGTGTTGAATATTTAAAAGCAAACGACATTTTTAATAATAGTAATAAATAAAGAAGGGTAAATATTGGAAATGTGAAAATAAATCGCAAGGTATTAAAAACAGGTATATGACATTCTCGATAAAGTTGTAGGTTTTTGTAAGATCTTTTGAAAAAATAGTAATATTTAAGAAAAACGACATTTTTTCAATTTGTGTTGAATGGAAAGATAGAAATTTTCGATATATCGCTATTATGTAAAACGTGCTGGATTGTTAATTCATATTAACCGAAATTTTGAAAACCATTCCATATCAATGGAGGTACCCACCAGTACTTCCGTGGCGTTCTTCCTCCCCCGCTGGTATACCTGGGTCTCCCCCTCCACTTACACAATTTCATTTGTATCTTAATATAACGTTTGTGTTTGAAAACGCGGTTTTTGAACATCGGAACTTTAATGTCAAATATGAATGTAATTTTTTTGTGTGAAAACTAGAATTTTTTAAGAAAAATTAATATACTGGAAAAACTATTAGATTTAGGTATGTATTATTCGAGGGGTTAACCACCATGCTAACAATTGTGACAGTATGGCGTGACGGTTTTATGCCCCTTAACATCTTATTGTTTTGTTTCTAAAAAAAAAATAACATCGTTTCTACACAACTTTTTACTGAATAAAAAGTAAATAATGTGATAGTAAATAAAACAAATTAAATATTATGGTAGTAAGAAAAGCAAATTAAAATGATAGTTTATTATTTGCAACATTCATGCAGCATCTTGACGCGAGTTGAAATAGACAGAAGTTAGAAGTGTAAAACGAGAACAATAATAGTCCCAAACCACTGCCCTAGTGAACCCCTTGAACCACGTCCAAGAAATCAGAGTATGTCATTCGAAGAAATGCTCTTTGACTCCTGCCATTTAACAAGTTTTATAAAAGGGATACTGCTGAAGAATCCAACCCAAATAATTCAAGTTAGGTCCACAAAATACGATGGTCAGTAGTGTCAAATGCTCTATATTCAAGAAGAAATAGACAATTATATTTGCATCCATCGAGAGCACGTATAATAACATCAGATACTTTTAAGAGGGCCGTTATGACATATCTCTACCTCTGGTCATATCCATGCAATCCACCTAGTCGGGGATCTTCCTCGTGATCTTGGACCTTCCACCATTCCTTGAATAACGAATCTCTCTATATTGTCTGTCTATTCTCATGGCATGACGAAAGTATTTTAGTTGTTGCAAGTGGACCTTACTGGATGCTTAACTCTTTTAAAATTGATTTATTTGTTCTTTGGTCAGTCCATGGAATTTATAGCAATCTTCTCTAGTAGAATATTTTGATGGTATCAATTTTCATTCCTCCTGATCCAGGATTGGAAATATTAGACAGTTGACGAATATTATTTTTAAGGTTGTTGAAATTGGTGATCCTTCCATATTCGGATCGTCTTTTCCATAGCAACAGTTGTCCGATTACATCTACATTTTTACTGTTTGTGATTAATGATCGCAGATAAGCTCACAACGTCGATCCCATCAATCTTGGTTATTTGTGGGTGATTGTTGTGTTGTCTATCCGCTAAAATGATTTTTTCCTTGGATGTGTTTAATTCTACTCCAAACAGTTGAGTTTCGTTCTTAACCCGTCGAACGAGATCAATCAGGTCTTCTTCAGATCTGATCACTGGGAAACTTACAGTTGGAGATACTGTAATTAATTCTGCAAGTGATATGATTTAATAGATAACGGATTTTTAATAGAATATTTTCGTAAATCAACTCGTTTAACATTAGACCGTAGTCGTGATATGATTTGTTCAATTTTGTCTGAACTAACCTCTGAAAACTGAAAGGGAGTATCGGCATAAGTTAAGACACTATTAATGTAGTGTCAATGTCATTAGTAATGCCAAAATAAAAAAAGAACATTGACAAATATCCAATTTAAGGTGCGCCAAAACTCCGTAGGATTAACACGAAATTGGTGATTGGTTTGGAATCGATATTGTGACAAAATTTTTTTTTATTTTATTTTATTTTTTTATTATTTTTTTTTATATCCTTCCCATACAGCAGAAATTTTCAATTGTTGGTACTAATTGGTGGTAAAATATGGTTAGTTTTAACAATAACTCAATGGCGCAGAATTTAATTGTATGGTCTTTAAAATGCGAAATTCCTTTTTTAAAAAGCCTCAACCAAAAAATTTATATAGATATTTATTTTGTTTGAGGGGGGCGTAGCTAAAGGAGGGATGATTCCCATTGGCGAAAGGTAAAAATTTCGGTCGTGATTAACATTGTTTAGGGTTTTATATGGATTTCTCTGATATTATTGACGAATATATTCTGAAAAATATATAATCAAAACCTGTATTGATAGTTACTAAAATACGACAATGATTTTGTAATACTTTTTTAAATACAATTTTTTTTGTCTATAGTGCGTATTTTCTGAATTAAGGGAGTAAGGAGCCTTATTTCAGACACTCGTATTACCTAGCCCAGGGGTTCCGAAAGTGTGCGCCGTAGAAAGTAAAGAGGGGCGCCGTGAGTCGATCCTCTATCATTACCCGAAATCAATATTCGCGGATATCTTTTCTGAGCGCTTGCATCAGTAAAGAACATAGGTACCTACTTACGTCGCGCGCGTCGCATGTCTTGACTAAAAGTACCTATGCGCTAGAAAACCGTTGATACCCTATCCCTTTCACGTCTTCCTCACCCGCCCGTGCTCGCTTGCTTGCAATCGCAACGCCCTTTCAAATGAGCCGAGCAACGGACTGTCATTGTGTTTTGTTTCGCTTCGTTTTTCGTCAAATGTCTCACGCAAAATGGACAAATTTTTATTAAATAAACAAGTCAGTTGTTCAAATGATAGTGATAAAGCATCTACTAGTGGCGGCGGGAAAGCAAAGAAGCGGAAGTATCGTAAATACGATGATAGCTATTTGGACTTTGGTTTTACTTCAATAGAAGTAAATAATGAAGAAAAGCCGCAGTGTGTGCTTTGTTTGAAAATTCTGTAATCCGAAAGTATGCTTCCAAGTAAGTTAAAGCGACATCTCGAAACAATTCATCCTACTATGACCGAAAAATCGCGTGATTTTTTTCACCGGAAATTACAAAATTTAAATAAAACAAAAAATTTATTCACTCAGCAAGCTTCAGTGCAAGGTGGCGTACAGGGTAGCAAGATGCAAAAAACTACATACTATTGCCGAAGTGCTTATTCTACCGGCTACTCTGGACATGGTGAATATTATGGTGGGAGAACCGACTGGAAAATTAATTTCCAAGGTTCCTTTATCGAACAATACTATCAGTCGAAGAATCCATGACATAGCTGAGGAGCTCAATTACCAATTAATAGAAAAAATGAAAAACAAGGATTTTGGTATACAACTTGACGTGGCTACTGACAGTAATAATGATGCAGACCTTATTTGCTACGTACGCTTTTTGGCTGACAATTGTAGAAGACCTTTTATTCTGCAAGACTTGTTTGAAATTCTTGATAAATTAATTGCAGATAATTGTTTGGATTAGGAAAAGTGTATCGATGTATGTACTGATGGTGCTTGAGCCATGTCTGGCAGGTATGGGGGATTGCAAACGCTTATTCGTTAAAAAGCATCGAATGCTACGTGGGAAGGGAGGAAGCTCTGGCATCAAAATCAATGAGTTCTGAACTGAACCAAGTACTGGAATGTGTAATTGGTGCAGTAAACTACATAAAAACTAGTCCTCTAAAGGCCAGACATTTAAAAAAACTATGCATAGATATGAGAGCGGAACATATGGCCCTTCTGTATTACTGCAATTCACGATGGCTTTCGCGTGGAAATGTCTTATTTCGTGTGTTCGAATTACACGAAGAAATTAGAACTTTTTTACAGCAAGAACATCATGAAAACGCTAAATATTTTGCTGAACCAGATTTTTTGCTAAAACTAGCATATTTGTGCGATATATTTGAAAAACTAAATAATTTGAATCTGTCTTTGCAAGGCGACGACGAACATTCTCAAACTATCGAAGAGGATTGCGGCGTTTAGAAAGAAACTGGATAAAAAAAATAATGAAGGCGGCGGTCAAGATTGCTTCCCGCAATAGTATGAATATGCGGTATCTAAAGAACTAGTTGTCTCACAAGACCTGATGGCCCTTTTCAATGAACACCTGTCGAAGCTCAAGATCCTTTCCATGCACAAGCTCCACCAGGATTCACATCACACGATGAAGAGAGTCATTGAACTCTCTTGTGACAGCAGCCTTAAAGCTAGATTCACCAGTTCCGATTTGGTGGAGTTTTGTTATCTATTCAAAATGAATATCCAAATTTAACTTCAAAAGCTTTAAAAATTTTCATTCCGTTTGTAACATCGTATTTATGTGAGGCAGGATTATCAGCTGTAGCTGTAATCAAGAATAAATACCGCTCAAGGATCAATGTGGAGCAAGAAATGAGAGTAGCAGTGTCAAGTCTTATTCCCCGCTTTGAAAAACTATGCGGATATCACCAAGCTCACCCATCACATTGACTTTACTGAGTAATTAGCGTATTTTATTTTTGTTTTTGTTAAGTCTTTCTTGCTGTTTCTATTCTTTTATAATAAACAAACTCAATTACATATTGTTGATGTTAATTTTTGTTCCTATCTACCTAACCTAACTACTATTACTGTAGGTACCTATTTCTCTCGGCTGTATCTTTTTCAAATAGGACGCCGTAACAAAATACTAAATCAGTAACTGCGCCGCGGGCTGAAAAAGATTGGGAACCCCTGGCCTAGCCAGATTTATCAAAATTTGTTTTTATAAATCATTGTACCTATTGAATATTAATATTTGTGACATTTTGTTTTTTAATTCTTAAAAATATCGTAGGAAAGAAAACTCTCTTCTATTCTATAGACGACTAATGGTGTTCTTTTTTCCAGGCTGCTGGTTGGTGCTCCGCTGGGTAAAAATCTTCAACCTGGATCGAACTTCTCGGGCGCATTGTTCAAATGTCCCATCTCAAACAGTGACACGGACTGTGTTCAGGTCGAGACGGACGGGCAGCGGCGTACGTATCTCATACAAGCCCCATTACAAAAGATACGATGAAATTCGTCACCGATTCTACAGAATAAACTAGATCTTAGTGTTGTATAAACACTACACAATAGGAATTAGCCATAGTTTCGACACTATTAGATACCATTAGATGAGTTTTAGATTTGCAGCTCTTGCATTATATTATTATTGACGCATAGTCAAAATTCAGCAGCCAAGAATACATTTTTGCTCGGGAGCTTTTATGTGTTAATTATATTTTACTGTCAAAATTAGAACTAGTTTGTTTGTAGTAGAAGCGAATTGAGTTTTGGTTAGATTTTAAGGTCCCGGACGATGGGGCGTCAGTAATAATTTTCATGTTTTTTTTTTTGTTTTTTGGGGTACACTTCCATCAGGGCCGTCAGGGAAGTATTTATGTAAGTGGTGGTCTCGATCCGAACTTGGTGCCGATTCGGTAAAAGCATGAGTATTTTTGCCCTTTTTTACATGCATGGTTTCTTTTAGCACGTTTTCGCGCTTCGATGATAAATGGCCGACGTATCTACTGCACTTTAACTTCTTTAATTAATTGCTGTGTAGATAGCTTCAGCTAAGGCTCTTGTATATATCTTCTAAACACCGACCATAGTCAGGACAATAATAGCCACTCTAAGAACACATATACATTTTTACCGAGCACTTCGTGGCACTCTTATGTTGCCAACATATACCGGGTGTCCCAGTAAGGGCAACGAGGTACGATGCTGGAGAAACGGACGTTCCTAAAAATTTGAAAAAAAAATTAAGTAAATAGACCAACAGAAAATTATTTTCGAATTTCTGAAATGGCCATCAGGGGGTGTAACTGCCATCCTGAGTTTTAAAATTCGTTTGCTGCAAGGTGAGACAACTTGAAATCTTTTCTGATAGATGATTTTCACTCTGTCTCTAAAAGGAAACTGATGGGAAATACTTTTAACAAGAATATTATTGACGCAAGGTGCCGAATCCTTTGGCCACCCAAGTCACCTGACCTTTCACCGAACGACCTTTTTCTATGGGGTCACTTGGAAAGTGTTATCTATAAAAATGTTAAATTTGAAAATCTTAGCAAGTTACAAAACGCTATTTCCTTAGAATGCAACAGGATTTCACAATACTAACAAAGTAATGTTAGAAATGAATTTTGTGACTGCTTAGGATATTGCTTAATGGAAGATTGTTCGAACATTTAAACATTAATGCTTCTTTTTAGCAATGTTTTGTAACCATATTTTTATTATAATTAGTAATTATTTTTAATAAAAGACTTAAGGGTTGAAATTTATAGTCTTTGCTTGAACCTTCCTTGTTTCTTAAACCGTCCTTTAAATAAAATTATTTCCTAGAACGCTTTGAGGGACAAGGAGGTCTTAAGAGCCTAGTATGAGTTTGAGTTTAATAATATACCTACTTAGTTTATTTTTAATATGTGAAACCAAATATGCATATCTCGTCAAGTTTTAGAAATAGCGTCATGGAAAACATTCGCTGGTTGCATGGACCTTTTGCAATGTTGCCATCAAATTTAATTCAATATTTGAACATTAACTTATTAAAATTTATTCAAATTCGGCAACAACAAATAAGTGATAAAATTTAAGACATTGGAGTTGACGTTTTTTTACGTGATTATGCTTTTAAATTTTGAATTGTGACTGTGGGTGTTGATAAAGGATTTTGTAAAGATATATCCCACGGAACGTTAAGAGATTTTTTTACCTAAAAGTTTCTTAGCGTGATTGCACTGGTGATAAGTTAAAAACCAATATGATTATCCGAGCTTGCATTTGCATTATATTGGTTCATCAGACCTTGAAAAGAATCTTTAATTTTTAGAGTTTTAATTGCAACTCAGATTTTCTTTAGTTTCAAACACACACGATCAATTTGATCCCTCCAATCCACCTCCATCGTCTAAAAAGTTGCCCAAGAACTTTACATTTTTATGGTCGTGACCGTTGTTAGTAGTAAATTCTACTATTGATGTTTTTTCAAGGCTGACAATTGTTTTTTTTTTCACCATAGTTCATAAATGTTCTTATTGTATTTCTTATCTTGAGATGAAAGCAGCAGAAATAATAAGAAACATTTTGCCTCAACAAAATCGTTTTGGGCTTTCTAACCATGAGTTTGTCATATTTTTTCGTATCTCAAAAAATTTGTGCCTTAAAATAGTGGACATGGTTATTCCGTATGTTAATCTTCAACTACGATTATCAACTTTAACAGGCAACATCTAAAAGCATGGTTTTGCTACTGAATAATATATTTATACAGAACATAGGTGTAATGTCATCGCAATATAAAAAAAGTTTTTAGTATCTTTGTTAAGATATGTTATGAGTGCCTGACTCTACACTAAATATATTGGACAACTTACTGTCCACCTTTGCTTTAAATTCACGATGGTTAGTGTATTAAGAAACCCAGTCCTTGCTGCTACCTCTGACACCCATCCTCGTTGAGCCTATCACAGATAAACTATACAAGCTGAGTCTGCAGTTTCTGTGGCGAAAGCAATGTCGACAGCTTATAAGTAGATTTTCATTACGGTGGACATTTGTGAAAAACTCTTATGAAAATCTTTGAAAGAGGACTTAAATTATGTATCAGACAAGCATCTCCTTTTTTAAAAACCGATGTAATGTTTGATTATGGTGAAAGAATGTCCGGTGATTCCCTTATTAATTTGATTAAGATTTCATCCAGTCCGGTGAATGTTCTACTTTTTAAAGAAAGAAATATTTTCTTTATTTCAATCTAATAATATGGCAAAATAAATAACGTATAACTTATATTGTTTGGAAATACTGTGGAAAAACCTTCAAATAAATTGGTTAAGGCTTTCGCGGCCCGTTGATGAGCTATTATCTTGATTCGGGTTTAAAGGCCGACGACGGCCTTTAAACCCGAATCAAGATAATAGCTCACCTTCCAAATAGTTCTCCTAATTGCTTGATATCACTGTTATTCTCCACGATCAAAGAAATTTTAGTAAAGGCTCTTTGTCGACCCAGTTTCTGATTGATCAAGGATTACATTTGTGTAAAATATATTTTTTTCTCTTCGTCGATACTTTTGTTCTTTAAAATTTCTGTGTACGTTTATATTTTCTGTAAATTTTCGTTGAAAGTTTTTGAGTTTACTTAATTGTTGTGTAAGGTCTTCTGAAAAAAATACTTTTTAGGTTTTTATATTTTAGTTAATGAGAAATTTCAAAAGACCATTTCATGCGGTTCCAAAATGTAGAAAACATATCCTCAAAGATTTTGCACTAAGTTAATTACTGAGATTGATACTGCCTTTTTGAAAATAGAAAAATCCGATAATGTGAACCTCTAGTGTGGTATTTTGGGTGATCGAATTGTAGGACAATTTTTCTTTAATTGTGAAGTTAATGGCCAAATTTATTTAAACCACTTGTACTGGAAAGCATTCGTTTACAAACGAGAAGAAATATTAGGCTGCAATACGATGGATTTCCACTTTTCTTCAAACTTATCCACAATTGTTGAATAGAGGAAGGGGCAATTTGTTTCCATGGCCTGGCCGATCCTCAGTCCTTGGACTTTTATCTTTGGGATAGAATAAAAGATATTGTTTATTAAACTCACTCCACTACCCCTGAAAATATGATTGATCGTATCCGAAATACTGTAGCCATCCTTATTAAGAGCTGAAATTAGTGCAGTCTTATTAAATACACTACGCAGGATAAATTCCTGGATAGAAAATGACAGGACACTTTGAACATTTTGATTTTCTTTTCAATCCATTTTGTTGTGTTTTATCATTACCAATGTTTAGTTTCCATAATCTTCGGATAAAATTCTTAATTTATAAGCGTTCCGTTTTATTGGGATAAAGAAATTGAGATGCCGTTTTCACTGTTCTGTGGCCATCCAATTAAATAATAAGAAACGTATTGCTGAATTTCATGTTTTCTTCCCCAAATATTGGAGCATCCCCCACCACTTTATTTTTAGGGATGGAAGGAGATTTGCAATTTTCTCAGCTTTAACACAGCGTTCACTCCAAATATCATTAATATAAGAAAATTTTGCAGTTTTGCAATTTTGGGTTTTCAAATTCAAAACCGGAATTACGCTCTCTGGTGGTTTAACATCCGTTTCCCCAACTGCCCTTTCTGGGATATCCGGTATATTAAAAAAATCTGAAATTTTTAGTTTAAGAAATCTAGCGGACAAATTTTTGATCTTATGACAAGCGCCGCCTTTATTGACTTGTTTATGTTCGGTGGCAGTAACTAACACATCACAGAACAATCCGAGTTATAAACGATGGAAAGCTTAGTTCGTGAAAAGCTCACTCAACATTCAAAAATAGTCAGAGGAACTTATTTCTAGGCTCACATCTACCTTAATCTTGTAGACCTAGTCGAAAATCACTACTATTTAGGCAATCAGCAAATTAACTACGCTGTTTTAAGCAAGCTGCAAAATGTCTGAAGCGTCTGAGGATTAAAGGTGTATATTTTCCGCATTGACTATCTTAATATCTATCTATCTTAATCTTTATATCGAACGGAAAGAATCAAATATCTTTGGAGAAGTTATATTATATTATATTATAAAGCAATAGGAACAATACCAATGCGTTTCAATAATTTGACGAATATGTGAGAAGTAGCTAGTAAAATCAAATACCTGAAGACATTAAATGTTGGATTGTAATACATTGTTGGCAAGATGTACCCCAGTCTCTTATAATTCTATCAACTCAACCCAAGAAGAGTATAATAGCAGAAATTACCAAAATACTTGCGTATTTGGTTATTTTTTTAATTATTCGTATTGGTAATACCAATACCAATACCAGACCTATGGGAGCCAGGGGAAGGTACAACTTGACAACAATAGATTTTAGTCATACATTTAAAGCCATCTTAAATACAACAGAATAAAAAAACCTTGTACTTTATGTGTATTTTCTGAACCTGAAATTTTGTTTATACTTACCAAAAATAGGTAAAAAATGTATTTTTGTTTATCATTAGTGGATAGTTTCCTCTAAATACAACTTATGTAAGAGTAGCAACCCCAGCTTCTCAACGCCAGGGGGCGCGCGGCGCATTGTCTGCTCAGTAGATTTCTGCGCATTTGTCCACTGGCCGATAGAAATCGTTGTACGTTGCCTATTCATTGTTCGTATAAGTACATATTGTCTTTTGAGTTGTCAATAAACTAAATCAATCTTGTCTAGTCAATGAGGAAAATAAGCTTTTAAGACTCAGATTGGCGATTCAGATATTTTGCAGATTGCATAAAACCGCATAATCAATTTGCAAGTTATCGAAAATATTAGTTAATATATAGACATTTCACACATTATCGGTAACAAATAGACATTAAATTTTTGCGTGCACAACAGAACA